CTTTCTAGATTTTGAATTATAAGATCAAAGTCTACGTTTAGCTCAAAACCCTAATTTTTGGAATTTATTTTTGAAGCCAATTTTTGAATTAATTTGAATACCAACATTGCTCCAAAAATTGAACTAAACATTTCTAGATGATTTACAATAGCAGCCAAACATGTTCTACTAACCTAGCAAGCAAGAATCAGAGCAAAACAACTCTAATAAGTGTATGCATCATTTACGTTTCACAAACATGTTTCGTATGTTTCGAAGTAATGTTTCAGTTATTATATGCAAGATTATGCATGTATGATTAGGATGCTTGATGATGCATGATATGCATGATTTGCAGTGCCTAAATGCAGGCATAACACCGGGGTGTTACAATTGCACTCGGCAAACATCACAGATTTGCCGAGTGCCACGGGGCAGGCACTCGGCAAAGGTCGCCTGTTTGCCGAGTGTCTTGACAGGACACTCGACAAATAGGCTACTTTTGCCGAGTGTCTCGCCGGTGGCACTCGGCATAGTGGCCACCTTTGCTGAGTGTCCGAGTCAACGGCGCTCGGCAAAGCGGCGACCTTTGCCGAGTGCTTGACCTTGACACTCGGCAAAGCCGCCGTCACGGTGGCGCTCGCCGTCACGGCGACTTTTCTTTGCCTAGTGTCAGATTAGCACTTGGCAAAGGCTTTGCTGAGTGCCCGATAAAGTGCACTCGGCAAAGAGGTCTTTGCCGATAAATTGTTTACCGAGCGCCGGCAAAGGCTTTGCCGAGTGTATATCGGCCGAAGCTGAATCCGGTAGTGAGTTCCATTCATAGAGATGGATAGCAACAATGAGATTGGGCATGAGCGCGAGAAGTACTTAGAATCCAATGATGCACGATCATTGTTGGATTACCTGAAGAATAAGCAGAAAGATGATCCTATATTTTTTTATGCTGCTCAAATAGATGAGGAAGATGACCAGTTAGCTAATTTCTTCTAGGTAGATGGTCAGTCTATTATAGACTATGCATGCTTTGGTAATAAAACTTGGAATGTGAGAAGGTTTTCAGCAGTGTTCATGAAAATGAGTTAGATGCATATTTTAATTCACGTCAAAAGGACCCTGTTACTTACATCCCAAAGTTACCTCTATTGAAAACCGCAGCTGAATCGTATACAAGAAGGATGTATATGGAGCTTGAGGAAGAACTTAAAGAACATTTTTCATTCTCTTGTAAATTGTTACATACTGATGGGTCAATCTTGTCATATATGGTTACGCATATGCTATCTAATCATGGAGCAACAACTGTTTTCAACAGTCCGAATATGTCATTACATGTTCTTGCCGGAAGTATGAATCGATAGGTCTGTAGACACATTTTTAATATATATCTGGTACAGGAGGAGGTCCAAATAATGCTGTACAAAATCAGTGATAAAAAATTGATTTTAGGAGAAAAATGTCAAATCATTTTGGAGGCGCGCACACCTAGCGACCACCTCCGTAAATGGTCAAGGGATTGCAGGAAATTGCCTGCCTCTGAAAATTATTTACAGAGGCGGGCATCCTAAAACGACCGCCTAAGAAAATTATCAATTAACGGGGGATGACCGCCTCCGTAAATAGATTATCAAAGACGGACATCTTAAGACGATGGCCTTTATTAATTGCTGATTTTCAGAGGCGGTCGTTTTGAGCGTCCATATCCTAAAATTGATTGATGGCGCCTCCGTAAATAGTTGCGTCAAAAACTAATTCATTACTTTTTCGTATGAATATGGATGAAGACAAACTTTATATTAAAATTATAGCTCTCGACGTGATCTACAACTTTGTAGTTAAAAAGTTTTTGAATTGAAACTGTTCAGGGTCCCAAAATATTATAGTAAGTTTACAGATTTTGGAATTTAAAATTTAAAATTATCAAACAATCTCGGATGTTGACATGACAATCTATACGAAAGTTATAGTTCTCAATACAATCTACAACTTTATAGTTAGAAAAATTGTATTTGATGTCGTTTAAAGTCCCAAATACGTGTTCTAAGTTTACAGAATTCAAAATTCAAAATTTAGAATCCCTAAACGATTACGAATGTTCACATAGTTAATACAAAAGTTGTAGTGGCCAACCTGAGCTACATGTGAGCTATTGGTAAGTTTTTTATTTAAAGTCGTTTAGAGTATGAAATATGTAAATTCACATATTTTCAGATTCATGTTTTTGAATTTTTTAAACAATCTCGGATGGAGATACATCCTATACCAAAGTTAAAGTACTTGACAAGATTTAAAACTTTATAGTTAAATGTTTTTTCATTTGAGTTCATTTAGACACAAATGTGTGTGCAGTACAATGGTAATAGAGACAAGTTGTGCTGAAAGTTAGGTCGCGAGTTCGTAGAGGCGAACGTTTTAAGGCGCGGCGGGCACAACGTCCGCCCCCGAAAAGCCGGATTAACAAAAAATGACCGTCTCCGAAAATAATTTTAGTAGTAGTGAATATAGATGAAAGCGCTGGTCCAAACCATTTGATCTAAATGACTTGAACTCATTATTATTATTTTTCATATTTTATATACTTACAAGCAATTGTTACAAACGATTTCATATATATGACACAGGACCTTGATGTTTGTAGCTACACAATGCCTAATTTTGCAAATGCTTCAACCATGGCTGCTCCATTCATCCAAGGCGGAGATGCTAATGCTACAATGTCAAACTTTACAAATTGTGTGTATGAACAATGTCAAACTCTTACGTGGAGTTCAACAAGAAGCTGCGATGTCCTTATCTGCTAGAAAGTTATTAAATTCTGATGAAAATATGTAACTGTGTTGTTAATCAATACATCTCATTTTATTTACTCCTTTATTAAATGAGATTTTCTGTTTCGACAGCCTGTTCTCATTTATTAATGCAATGGAACAAATTTATCCTCTGTTGGCACCACTTTTTGATGACTGGAAATTAAAAACTGATTGTGCGACGAAATCTGGTGAAACAGTAGCCAACCGCCAAAGTTGTGGCTGGGTATTTTATTTAAAAAAAATGTTGTACACTCACACGATACTTATACAGGTCTCTACCAAGACCACATGCAAACACCACTAGACCAGGTCTGATCTGCCTGGGGTACTCTGTGACGCCTGCATGTATGAACCGAACAAAAAAAATTAATATACACCGGCAGGATAGCTAATTAATCAGGCGGCGGCGGTGACCAGTTAGAGTCCATGCATGTATAAATGTCCATGTAGCATGAGGCACGACGCGGCACGGCCGGCACGAGCACGCTATTTGGTCGGTGGAGCCTAGCCTAAGCCACTTCTCAAGCACGTGGCTGGATGGTCAGCGAGCCCGGGCTGGCCCGGTCCGGTGGAGCAAGTCGTGTCTCCCTAGGCTTCCTTCCCGGCCTCGAGCACGTGGCTGGCAGCACACGCACTTTTCGCTTCTCCTCCACTCAGTCTCTCACTGGCGCCCCCCCCATTCCCTCGCATTGACCGTCGGGACCGGGACGCCTCCTCCCTCTCCTCGGCGTCCTCGCTGCCTGGCCGCCGGACGGCCTCTCCTCCCTCTCAGCTGACCTGCTAAGCCCCAGCCCCAAACCCTAACTCCCTGTCAGATCCGGTGCCCTCCCGGCCTTAAGATCCTCCCTTCCCCTTCCTTCGCTTCCCGGGTCAGCCCCTCTGGATTGGCCGTGCCTCAGTGCCGCCCGGCCCACAGCCCAGCAGCCCTGCACGAGCGTTCCTCGCCGCACGTGCCCCCAACAGCCTGCTGCCCACCCCTCAGGCTGTGCCCACGCCTCGTGCGGTGGCGCCCGCATCTATGAGTCGCTCGGCTCCTCCACTACGTGACTCGCGGTGGAACCAACGCTCACCGGGAGCGGCGTATGAGGCTAGGAAATTACGGGAGGCCTAGATGACGTTCTCCCATTCCCTGCTAGGGAGAATCATTGTCTCAAACCCACCCGTCTTGATTGCCACTTAAAATTTATACCAACTGCCATCTAAAATTAAGAGCTCCCTTCGTTGCCATCCCTCCTCGCCCCTCTCCTCGGCGTCCTCGCGCATCGCTACCCGGCTCCTCTCGACGGAGCTCACGCTCGGCCGCATGCCCTGGGCCTCGCCAGCCTCTCCAAGACCTCTCCCTCGCCCACTCTCCCCGCAGCCTCTCCTCCTCGCCTCCCTCCGCTCGCTCGACTCTCCTAGCGCGCTCGGCGCGCTCGGCTCGGCGCGGCGGCTTACCGCCTAGGCCACCGCAGAGCGAAGCTCGCCGCCCCGAGCTTCCGCCTGGTCGTCCGGCAACCAGTTCCGGTGCCAAGAGCTGCTCCACCTCGCGTCCCGAAGCTCGCCTGACGCAAGACCTCCCTTCCCCAGTTCTCTCTGCGGCTCAAGACCCTTAGCCTTAGCGGCGCGCTTGGCGCCCTCACATCGGCTGTGCCGGCACCATTGATCTTCGGCACCGCGTCCCCGGGTCAGCCCGACACGCTGGATTGGCCGTGCTTCTCGCGTCTAGGAACCAGCTCCGCCGTCCGGCCAAAAAACAGCCCAAGCGCAGCAGGCGGGTGGTGGTGTGGCGGCGAACATGGTCTTGGTCGGCGAGGAGTTCGGCGATGCGCGCACGGTGCCCCAACTGGGCGCGTGCGCGCGCTGGCGTGGCTCCCCAACCCCATCGGGCTGTGCTGCGGCCTGGGCCCGTCCACTACAACGTGAAGCCGTGTGCTGCTGCGGACCGGGCCGGCCCATTGGATATCTTTGAGTCCATGCGACTCGGCAGCCGAGAGCTACGTGACTCGCGGTGGAACCAACGCTGCCCGACGGGAGCGGCGTATGAGGCTAGGAAATTACGGGAGGCACTAGATCCCCCGTCATACTCGTTCGTAGCGCATGCGGTCTTTCAGGCCTAGATGCTAGGGAGAATCACCTTTGTCTCAAACCCACCCGATCTATATAATCCCAGTCCCCACATATATTGCACCGTACCATCAAACCCAAGCAGGTCGCCATCCAATCCATGCCATGGCGCTGTTTAAGTGCCTGTGCGTTTTTCTATTATCTCTCCTGCCTGCCTTCACCTTCACCAACGCCGATGAAGAAGCTCCACGGCAGACGCTCCCGCCGATCCCCTGCATCCCGGGCCGGCCACGGCCCCCGTGGCTGCCACCCTGCTCGCCGCCTTCCCCACCGCCGCCGCAGCCAGCCGAGTGCTACACATCGCTGTCGGGGCTGATGCCGTGCACGGACTTCCTCACCAGCACCGGGGTGCCGCCGGCCCCCTCAAGCGCCTGCTGCAACGGCCTTAGGTCGCTCGTCACCGACGCGTCCATCTGACTATGCCACGTCGTCAACGGCGACATCAGCAACCTCCTGCCTGCGCCCATGATACCGCGGCGCATGGTGGAGCTCCCCCGCTTGTGCGCCATCCCCTTCCCACGTGCCACGCTTCGCCAGTGCATCAGTGAGTTGATCATATATTAAGCAACAATTTTCCTTTTGAGTTTTATATATGGCTACATTGTTATATTGATTGATTGAAACAAATATACACGTGTCGATTTTATTTAATTAAACAGGGGGGCCTGTGCCGCCGATGAACCCTCCACCATCGACTCCACCACCGGCGCCTGAGCCAACCCCATCACCACCGACTCCGCCAGCAGCATCACCACCGGAATCGCCACCAACTCCGCCAGCAGCATCACCACCGGAGCCACCATCAACTCCACCGGAAGCATCACCATCGGAGCCACCATGGACTCCGCCGGAAGCATCACCACCGGAACCACCGTCGACTCCGCCGGAAGCGTCACCACCGGAACCGCCATCGACTCCGCCGGAAGCGTCACCACCGGAACCGCCATCGACCCCGCCGGCATCATCACCACCGGAACCACCAGCAGCGTCACCACCGGAATCACCGTCAACTCCGCCAGCAGCATTACCACCGGAACCATCACCAGCAGCATCGCCACCGGAACCGTCGTCGACTCCACCAGCGGCATCACCGCCGGAATCACCCTCTGTTCCTCCACCAGAATCACCATCGACTCCACCTCCCACACCAGCGGTGGCGCCACCTGACTCCCCACCCTCGACTCCACCACAAGAATCACCCTCCACCCCACCACCGACGCCAGCAGCTACGCCACCGGAATCACCCTCCACCCCACCGCCGACGCCAGCAGCCACGCCACCGGAATCACCGTCTGATCCACCGCCGACGCCAACAGCTACGCCACCAGAATCACCGTCCGATCCACCGCCGACGCCAGTGGCTACGCCACCGGAGTCGCCGTCGACTCCATCCCCATCATCTTAATTACGGCCAGTATTTCACAAGTAATCTTAATTACGGCCAGTATTTCACAAGTAGTAGTCTAGTCAAATTAGATATGCTTTTTAGGATTCTAGCTGATAGGCATCCAGTGTTCCTAGTGTTCACGTAGCATGCATGCAGCACTGCAGCAGTGTGTTAGCTGTAAGTAGTTGCATACCTTGTTTACTGCGTGCATGTCGATCATAAGTAAGTTTATTAGAAGTATTCTTATAATAATAATATTTAGGAACTGTCATCCATGCAAAATATGCCACGGTACTACTGCCCAACCTGCATGCTCTATTACATAGACGGATGGCTAGCTTTCCAACCCGCCCTGCTGAGTCGGTACTACTGCATGCCCAACCTGCATGCTCTATTACATAGACGGATGGCTAGCTGTCCAACCCGCCCTGCTGAGTCGGTAGACTCGGTACTACTGCCCAACCTGCATGCTCTATTACATAGACGGATGGCTAGATGTCCAACCCGCCCTGCTGAGTCCAGCCCTAACCGGCTAACCCAAAGCTAAAATTAGGTCTCCCATCCCTGTCCCATGCTGCGCTTTCTACTAGTGGATTTGTCGAAGGAGACGGCGCTGCCGCGCCGACCATGCATTCCGGAGGAGTGGCAACAGGCGGACCAAGCGAACGGCGGCATCACCATCCCCCGATCCTATTTTATCGTGTTCATTCAGGCAGCCAGCGATGACCTCCATCACCCTCCTCCCCCGATCCTATTTTATCGTGTTCTGGCAGCCAGCGATGACCCTCCATCCACGTCCTCGATGGGGTGTCGTTTTGTTCCTACACGCCCCCTCCATTGCCAAAGACATCGAACTCCTCCAATTCCTCCGTGCTATTTGTCTGTCCACCGGGCTCAGTCTCCTGTATCACTACCGGAATCGCAAGCCAGAGTGCCAAGAACTTTGCCGAGTTTTTTTTTATCTCGGCACTCGGTAAAAGCTGTCTTTGCCGAGTGCCCAAACTCGAACACTCGACAACGACATGACCCTCGGCAAAGCTAGTCTTTACCGAGTGCTCAGTTTCGGCACTCGGCAAAGACGTCCTCTTTGCCGAGTGCTCAGACATGCCGAGTGTCAACGTCTCACACTCAGCAAATTTTGGCCCGCCGTTAAACCAGCCTGCCGTCGTCAGATCTTTGCCGAGTGTACAAATGCAACACTCGGCAAAGAGGCTCTTTGGCGAGTGTCAAAAGCAGACACTCGGCAAAGTATAATTTTTTTTTGACTCCTGCACTTCAAAAATTTTCACCTCTCCACATACCACATTTGGTACTCCATGCTTAAGTTTGGTGTCTTTTTGAATTTATTTGCTATATTCAACTAATTAATTGCATTTCAAGCAATTTTTTAAATTAAGTTAAATTTGAACTGCAAGTGATTCAAATATTTGGAAAAAATGAGTATAAAATTGATATTCATGTTATTCAACCTAGTTTGACGCCTTACGTTTTCGAACATCTTATTTCGGAAACACGACCCCGAGCGTGTGGTTGAATGGTTTTTAAATTCTATAAAAAGCAAAGGAAGTCCGAAAATCATGAAATTTGATAAGATGTCATGATATCATATGTGGAGGCTGTGGTAAAAAATTGAGAAGGTGTCGCATAAGTTGTCACGTATATTGCTTACAAACCGAAACATCTCCGAAGAAGTTTCATGATTGTTGAGAATGATCTGGTAAGATTTGGAGTGAAAGTAACGGTCGAGTTGTGGTTTCACTCCGAAACTTTTTGTATAGCCAATAGACATCAAAGATCGTGTCATGTTAAATTTTAGTGATTTTTTTGATCCATTTGATAATTATTAATTATTAATTGCAATTATATAAATGGAATTTGAGCTATAACTACATGAAATCATGGTCTATTTTTCGCTGAAGCATCAAATTTGCATTGTTGAGTGAATTTGACAAGGTATTTTCAAAGTGTATTGGAACAAATTTGGAAAAAAAAAAACGCAAGGAAAAGGGACAGGAAATAGAAAAGTTTTGTTAAAAATATCTTTGCCGAGTGTCCTAGGGTTAGCTTTTCGGCAAAGTATAATATTGCCGAGTGCCTTATAGGCTTGACTCGGCAAAGATTTTAGTTTTTCCGGCCTTAGAAGTGTCGGAGTGCCTTATAAACTTGACTCGCACCTCCGCAAATATTTTTTAATGTTTTTTTTAAAATCCGGCTTTGCCGAGTGTCGGATCGCAAGGACACTCGGCAAAGGCCGCTACGCCCGCCACGCCGCTAACTGAAGACTTAACTCGGCACGGCCCGGCCGAGACTCACGCGGCGTCCCTCACCGGTGCCTCTCCGCGCACGCTCGGCGCCCGACCTCTGCCTGTGATACCTAGGTAATCCTTGTTCATCTCTTTCATGTTCCCTTTGTTTGATAGAAATAAGGTAAAAGGTTCCATGCTCGAGAACATTGGTGTTTGAATTGCCTCATTCCCTGGAGTGAAATGTTGTAATATTATTTTATCTGTTTGTAGAATGTAGTTTCATTGAATTCCCGTCATCCTCGAGATCAAGTGCAAAAAAAAAGCTTTCACTATAGTGCCCCTGCCCGCTCGCCATGTGCCCGCCTTGCGCTGGCCCGCCCGGGCGCCGTGCAAGCCGCCTCCACCGGCAAAGTTTGGCTCCACCCGGCGGCGGTGGGTGGGGGGAGACTTGGCGGCTGGCCTGTGGCTTTGGCTGCTGGGGCTCCTTCGTCTCTGCCGGATCTCTTTGGCGCGTGGCGGTGGTGGCGCCACCAGATCCGCACGCGCTGGGCGCAGCGCAAAGGCTGTGGGGATCCGACCGCTTGCGGCCCCGTGCTAGGCGGTGTCGAGAAAGGATGGCCGAATCACGAGGGCAACGAGGGCGACGAGGCTGTCGCTTCGTGATGTGTAGGTCCTCGGCTCCCCACATCATCTCGTCTCTCTCCTGCAGGTGCGCCGAGATCCTTAGGCTCCCTGCCGAATCTTTGGTGTCGAGCAAGACGGCGGAATCTTGCTCTGCACTGTCGATTGAGGTCGATTGCATGCTACTAATCATGGAGCAGAACCTTTGAAGTTTTTTTCGCTTGCTTGCTTGAGCCCGTATTGTAATCAATGCGAGAATACTATTGTTTTGAAATTTATACTGTTTGATGCCTATAAGAACACTCGTCTAGATATCTCATTAGCATTTGTAATGTCATTGCAACATTGAAATTTCATGCCTATTTAAATGAGAGGAGGGTTCCCACATGGCTGAACCTTGGTCTTGACTTTGATGCAAACCAATTTCCCTCTTGCACTCTATTGTCACATGAGAAGGTTCCTAAAAGGCAGCAAAAATCTTAGAAGAAGGTGAGATACTATACATACTCCTATTTTTGTGATAGCTGCCAAGTCATCTTTCTATTGAGGATAGTAAGCTCTTTACATATTTTCATTGAGATATTGTTGGACCTGAAGAGTAATCCTATTTGTTCATTCTCTTTCATGTTCTTGATAAATAGATAACCTTTGTTTGATAGAAATAAGGATGTAGTAAAGGTATCATTTTCATGTCACTAAATTAAATATGCATATCAAAATCCCACAAAACATTGGTGTTTCAATTGCCTCATTCCTAGTTCTCCATTTTCTGGAGTGAACAAATGAACATTCAATCATTGTAATATCATTTTATCTGCTATTTGTAGAATGTAGTTTCATTGAAGCCAATTCAAATGTTTAGTTATATTCATAGTCTGCCAATTTGTAGTTAGATAAAATGTGACACCGAGTGGGCCTCGCTAATACACTAATACATGAATGACCATACCTAGGCTTCTATGCTGAATGGATCAAGTGCAAAAAAACTTTCACTAGTAGAGTGATCGATGCATAATTTTTTAAGTTTAGCTTTCACTAGTTAGGTAAAATCCTAAATCTTGGCGTGATACAGCAGCCCGTTAACCTTTTTGCCGGCAATAGGCAAGTGGCTTAGTGGAAGAAATTTTAGAAGGGGGAAAGCATGAGAAATTGCTACAACGACAAAAGCAAAACCACTTAAACAACATTTAAAAGTAGACGTGTTGACTATTGTATTTGTTTTACAGTGGACAATTCCAGAAATAGTTTCCATATAGCATTAAAAACTTGACCGTTGTAAGACTACATGGGTTCAGGAGAAGTAGGTACTTCTGGTTCTTCGGCTGGTGAATCGTTGTCTTCTTTCGTTGTGCCATTTGACTCTGGTTCTTTTGCAGCTTCTTCTGGGTCAGTTGGTTTTGACAAATCTACATCTTCCGGAGACTTTCCATCTCTAGCTACCACATCTTTGGTCATGCCTGAAACAACAGATCAACATTTTCCATAATTATTGCAATCACAGTTAACAAGCAAATGAATGGTTATAGTTAAGATCTTGAAAACTGACTGTGCTCATTTTCAGCACTTTTCTTTTGCCGCTTTAGCACTTCATAACTTTGTGACACGTTTACTTCTGGCTGTACATTGCGAAGCCTTGCACTTAATCTAGTACCAGAAACCAGCTGAGCAACAGGCGCTGCTTGAAGAATAGAGTTATCTTCATCATCCACAACCTGCTGTGGGCCCCCCTGTGAAGCAATTTTATCACAAAAGGACACCAAAGATGGGTCCATCTGTGACAACATACCTTGGACCTGGCCAAAAAGAGGTTCATTAGACATAAGAATGATAATCTGTAGAGGCATTGTCGAGAACCCAATATAGGAGAAAGTGAGAACAAACAAGACACCACATCTCTGAGTTCACATGCTCTACCGACGATCCTAGATCCATTGTAGTCATCCCCATTGTAAGTCTATAGGTCACAGAAGGGGAAGTTCGGCATTATTTAAGCTGTCATCCTCACAACTCTCATTACTGAATTGTAATGTACTGTCAAGAATCAAGAAACTAAGTTCACCAAAAGATGTACCTTTGCATTTGAGACAATGAGATCAATATCCTTCATAAATGCTGCCCTGGTAAGGTACTGTCCAGAGTCCACCCGCTGCAAGACAGTAGCCATATCCATGGGCATGTGGATTATTGATCGATAGTCAGGCACCTCCTCTTCTGATACCGGGAAGTGAAATACATTGAACCTTTTGTTGTACAAAATGCTGAAAAGATAAGCAGTCACACTATTAGCTCTATCAGGTTTCAAAAGTCAATTGAACAACAGTGATGAGATTGCAAGGGATAAAGGAAAAATAAATAAAAAGCTACCAACAGAAGCACTTGTGTTTCAAACCAAATTTAAGAAGGTAGATTTTATGATTTTGAAATATCACAACTGCCTGCTTCTATAATAAGAGTAAGCTGCAGACCGATTACAGATATCTCGGAGACACATCCTCATTCGACGAACATCATGCTGCTCAGCTTCTGCCTTAGCCTTTAGCTCAGAAACCTTAGGGCCCTCCACTTCTTTCGGGGCTTTGGGAAGATCAATAGCAGACTTCTGTTTCTTTGACTTGTTTCTTGATTCCTCCGTTTGGAAAGAGAGCAATGACTCGAACACTATACTGAAGTATCTCAATCTATCGTCATAACTTGGATGATCCACTTGATACCTATATCACACAAAGATTTTTATTTTCTTGGTGAAAGATAAGATAGGAGGAAATTCAGTGAACATGACATGAAGCAGGTGACAGATTCACAAATAAAATGTTATACAAAGAACTAAAGTCCAAAAGTCAATAAAAAGGTGCATACCGATCATGATGATTATTTTTAAGACATGTAATATTATGTTATACAAAGAACTAAAGTCCAAAAGTCAATAAAAATGGTCATGATATCAACATGGAAGTATACATGCATGATAGTGATGATGAGACTTATGATCCAGCTAATACCGATCATGATGATTATTTCTAAGACATGTAATATTATGTCACCTTCTAATTATATTTTGTTCATTTTGCAATACGTCTTATTTATTTTACATCTCTTTCTAATTATGTTTTATTCATTTTGTATCTCTTTGTAATTGCAGGTGATTGAACAAAGATGTCTAGGCGAGGGGTCTCTTAAGGAGTTTAAGGAAAGTAAAGTCAAAATACAAGAGGGTGAAGGAGGTAGCTCCTCCGCCACCGCCAAGGAAACGCAGGGGTCGTCAGGCTCCTCCACCACAGAGGCAGGAGGAGGAGGTGGAGTCCGAGGAGGAGGAGGTGCCCGAGGAGCACGAGGAGGCGGTGGAGGACGAGGAGGAGGAGGAGGAGGAGGAGGAGGACGACGAGGAGGACGAGGCTGAGGAGGCGGCGGGGCGTTCCTCTTCCTGTGGTGCAGCGGCAGGGGGCTCCTCTTCCTCTGGCACGGCTAAACTCTATCAGCGAGGTCCCTCACAACTCCCGAAGCGACCGATACCTCTTGAGAGACGCCCGATGGTTCGACCCGGTGGTTCAAAGTAAGTAACTTTATATGCTGTCACTATTTTCTCATTTGTTATGTTGAAACTAATAATTTTTCTTGATCACTTAGGCAGGGGTTTTGTGATCATGGGTGCAGGTGGCCACGGACGCCATCCCAATGGCGTTCTTGGTCTTTTGTGCAAGACACACTTCCCTGGCTTTGTTGACTTTGCCAGAGTGCGGCAGCCGGCCTGGACGTTTGCCCACTACGCCGTCTGCGCAGATGCATATGATCGGGATGGTAGGATCTATGGCCACAAGGCAGAGCGGGTGATTACGGAGCTGTGGGTAAGTCTTTGTCTCACTACACTGCTCAATTCATCGCATTCATTGGACATTCTTCAAATAATGATAGGATACATTGCGTCTACATACAGGATTTCTTCAGATGCGAGCCGGGGTGGGAGGTGGCAGCGAGGGCGGCGGCTAACAAAGCTTGTCACAAACTCGTGGGTGACATGCACTACGAGGCGCGCCTCCAGGCCGTCGTGACATAAAACGCGACCTTCGAGTTTAGGAAGGTCACGAAAAAAAAGGCAAGAAAGGAGACGCTGACCAAGGAACAATACATGAAGGTAAATATATAAGATTAATACTGATTTTTTCTAAGATTAAATAAACTTAATTTGATCTACGTATACTTGATGTCGTGTAGGTGGTTCCGTGGTGGTGCACTGGGCACGAAGACTGCTGGGAGGCAATGGTGGACAAGTGGTGCAGCCCCGAGTGGTGGGAGACGCACAATGCTTGCCGAGAGCGGCGTTTGATGATGCCTGGTGCACCACACCATCAAGGCAACCTTTGCCTCCCGGCCTACGCAGCTAAATGGGTACGCTGAATCCATTTCTTTATTCTAAAGCTCAACTATGCAAATTTCTAATCATCCTGTTGTTTCTTTCGCAGTCGGCGTCACATGGTGGCGTGCCCGTCTCCCAGTTCGAGGCGTGGGCAATGTCCCACAAGGGCAAGGCGACGTCCGACGTCCACTACAACCCGGAGGACCCGTCCGAGGCGTACAGCAACTCGTCCGTCCACACCCGCCTCACTGAGTACACAGTGATGGCAAGGGAGGTCCATGGACCAGAGTACGATCCCACCTCCGAGGACCTTGATGGAGAAGTCGTCATGAGGTTGGGAGGAGGGAAGAAGCACGGGAGGTACTGGATTGGCGACGGCGCAATCGACACGGCCCGTACTAGGTCTCTCTCCGAGATTTGAGCAAGGAGCACGAGCTCGAGCCCGGCCATACGCACACGGCCGGACTGTACATAGCACACGGTACAGGCACTCAAGGTTATTTCTGTTTTATTCGTCGTTCATTGATTTTTACATACATTTGCTTTGTGTTGTATCATTGGGGTGAAATATTGTAGGCCGAGGTGGCGGAAGAGAGGAGGCGACGGGAGGAGGCTGAGGTGAGGGCTGAGGAGGATCGACGGAGGATGGAGCAGATGTTTTAGTATATTCAAGGTCTTGGAGCTCACTCAGGCTATGTTCCGCCACCGATGATATTCACTCCACCAAATGATCCTGCTGTTACTCCTGTGAGTTTCTCTACCTTAAATTTAAATGTGAATGTGGATATGGATATATGAATGTGAATCCAAATGATATATTGAGACAAATGCACCATGATATGTGAATATGCATATGTGGTTGTCGGTCATCGTACCGTTGTTTTGTTGTAGGTTTTGGACACCTCATCGTGCAGGGGAGGTGCTGCCGAAATTTTGAACTGACACTAATATGTTGCTTTTTTCAAGTTTTTAGAACCTACCTTAAATCTTGTCTCACACATGCAATCACTTCTCTTTTGTGCAAGGGCAATCGACGGCGTCGAATGATGTTCATGGCACACCTCCAGCTCAGGGCACACCTCCGTCGCAGTGGGACCGGTGGAGTGGTCGTCAACAATAGAGGTAGATCGACTTGTGCTTGTGATGCTTATTTGTGAATGGTGGCATTTGTGGCGGCACTTGGATAATATTTGTGGACTATGTGATACTTGTGGACAACTTATGATGATATTTGTCATGGTTATGGATTATATGTGATGGCTGTGTGATATATGTGATTGTTGTGTGATATGTGATATATATGTGATGGTTGTGTGATATATGTATGTGTGGATGCAATAAACAAAAAAATGCAAAAAAAGCAAATTTCTCAGCTATGCCGAGTGCAATCACCAAGACACTCGGCAAAGCTGGGAGCCTTTGCCGAGTGCTATGACCATTGCACTCGGCAAAGATAGGGAGGCTTTGCCGAGTGCCACAAGTAAGGCACTCGACAAAGCCTCTACCTTTTCCGAGTGCCACAAGTAAGGCACTCGGCAAAGCCTCCCTGCCTTTGCCGAGTGCCGCCAATTAGGCACTCAGCAAAGCGGCCACCTTTGCCGAGTGTAGTGGGATTGACACTCGGCAAAGAGGGCGGGCTTTGCCGAGTGCCCCCCGTGAGGCGCTCGGCAAAGCGACCGTCACTGTCAATTGGCGCCGTCAGGCAACTTTTCTTTGCCGAGTGATTTACGGGCACTCGGCAAAGCCTTTACTGAGTGCACGACAAAAGACACTCGGCAAAGAGGCCTTTGCTGTCACCGGCTTTGCCGAGTGATCTTTGCCGAGGGTTACACTCGGCAAAGGCTTTGCCGAGTGTATATGGGGATTTGCCAAGTGTCACAGGCACTCGACAAAGAGCCTGAGTCCGGTAGTGTATGATGCCCATGAAAAAACTCATCTTCATCAGGCAAGTCATCTATCTAGGTTCAAAAAAAAACAAGTCATCTATCTGCCGAAGATCAAAATCAAACTTGTAGTCCTCATCAGGATCATCAACAAAGCACTTTCATTTTGGCTGAAATGTCATCCATCGATGGGGTACCATGAGCAGAATCAGAAAAGAACACTGAAATCGAAAGGGATGGCAGGAGATGTCGTCAGGAATATCAAAACAACGTTGGCAAACTTGATCAGAGCCCGTTACTGTATGTATGCCATCCACACATTGGCAACACACTTACACTTGCACAACCTCAATCGAATTTTCACTACTTCATAAATCATTTAGGTACATTGGAATAAGCAAATTTGTAATTGATGACTACTGGCATCTCTGGAAACGACGGAATGCAGCAATATTCAGACAAGAGTCTCTCACACACCGTCAAGTCTTCTTGTTAATGCACAACGATGCAAAGTTGTGGAGGTTACGATTGCCCAAGAAAGACAGGGAGGTAGCAGATGTTTGGTGCCAACTTTTGTTGCCTCTATGTAATCAGTAAACAGTTTTGTAAATGATGATGTTGTAATCCTTGAATCTGATGGGATTATTGAGCCTAGATCAATGAAATAAATCCAAGCAGGTGGGGAGCCTCTCCCTCCGTTGACAGTAAAAAAAAATTGTAATTGATGAGAACAAACGTGGTTCGCATGCAAGGAAAATTTTCAAAAGAAGTATGATGAAAACAAATGTTTTATCAAATTTGTACATCTTGACGACTTTCCATTTGAAATAATTTATGGTCCCAAAAATTTATTTGAAGTTCTCATAGTTTGAAATTCATTTTTTTAAAATTGTCCAAATCACCAGAAACAAAGTTGTAGATATGGATGAGATGTGAAAGTTTCAGTTGACAACTCTTTTATTAGAAATCATTTAGGGTCCCAAAATTATGTTTGAAGTTCTAACATTTTGAAATCCAAATTTTGCAAACGACCTCGGATGGAAAAACAAAGCACAGTTGTAGATGTAGATAAGATCTACAACTTTATAGCAGATAACTTTTTTATTAGGAATCATTTATGGTCCCAAGTTTATAATTGAAGTTCTTACTTTTTTTATTAAATTCAAATTTTGCAAACAATCTCAATGGAAAAATTAGCACTAACAAAGTTGTAAATCTCAACGATAATAGTGTTTCTGTAGAAGTGAAACACAGGCGATGCAACAACGTCGAGTTACATATACGGATCGGAGGGGGGAGAAGCCATATACTAGAATGACACAACTCGTCTAGGAACACGCGTTTTATGTGCAAGAGACAAGAGAAAATTGGCATACGTAACGTTATTGTTGTTCATGGGACTGCTACAAAACCGTCTAACACGATTTTAATCAATAAATATATACTAATAATGTATATCCATGGGACTTGTATATCCTTATGTGTGGCATTGTTGTTGTTGTGAGTCAAAAAGATGCTGAGATATACGGATATATATATATATATACTATATGCGCCTATACAAATACAAACAGGATATACGTACAGCTTAAACTCGAGATAAATTGCTCGTACGGCAGAGGGATCTCTAATCTAAAATTTTAAGTTCTAGATCTGCTGCAGCTGCATATACCGTTTAGATTCTGTATATCTCAACAGAAGCCATCGCCCTATAAATAAACCCCTCCGCGCGTCGTTCATCATACCCAACAACACGCGAAACAAAACCTAGCTTGGAAGATGGCGACGTCCAAGTGCATGTGGTTCGCATTCGCCATCACCTTCGCCGTGGTGGCGGCCACCCTGCAGCCGTCGGCGGCGACCAGAGTCCTCGACGCAGACCAAGAAGCAGGTTCTTCTCGGCCGCCGGCGTGGCGTCCCCGGCCGCTCCCTCCGCTTCCTTGCATCCCAGGCCTGCCGCGTCTGCCGTGGCTGCCGCCCTGCAACAACGACTCATCGTCATCATCAGGCGGCGCACCGATCGTCCCGCACCCGCCGCTCCCTCCGCTTCCTTGCATCCCGGGCCTACCGCGGCTCCCGTGGCTGCCGCCCTGCAACAACGACTCATCGTCGTCGTCAGGCGGCGGCGGCGGCGCGCCACCTTCGCCGGTCGACCCGCCGCAGCCGGCAGAGTGCCGCACGTCCCTGTCGGGGCTGGCGCCGTGCGCCAACTTCCTCACCAACGCCACCAGCGGTTCGGCGCACCCCGCGGCCGCGTGCTGCGACGGCCTCAAGTCGCTGGTGAAGGACGCGCCCATCTGCCTCTGCCACGCCATGAACGGTGACCTCGGCAAGGTTCTGTCGGCGCCCGTGCTACGCTTGCGCGTGATGGCGCTCCCCCGCATGTGCCGCGTCGCTGTGCCGTTTGGCACGCTTCGCAAGTGCATCAGTAAGTCATACACACACGTAACCAGCTGCATGCTACATTCTTCTCGAGTGTATATTGACATGGACAACTAATTGCTAATGCGATCCACTGTGAATTTTGTGACTGAATTGGACTGACAGGGGGGCCTGTGCCGCCGATGGATGCGTCACCATCTGCACCACCGGCAGCATAATATGGTAACCACCATCCGATCCTGATCCTGATCCTCTTTTTTCACTTGTTTTTCTGTAGATCGGTCTCCCATATGTATGAGTTATGTTGTTATTCAAGACTAATCTGCTTTCGTTTTGATTTGCAGTGACAAGTAGAATGATGAAGTGCAGAGAAATTAAAGCGGCCGGTCGGTTGGAATAGTTTCGCCAGGGGAAGTTAGAGTTTAGATTAGATTAGTATAGCCCTGTTTGGTTCCGAGCTCCTAAACTTTGTTCCTAAATAGCTAAAACATTTAAAACAGCGTAGCAATGTGTTAGTGATATCGGTCATTCAGAGAGAGAGGAAATTATGAACTTTAGAAAGTTTTATTATCCTAAAGAAAAACCAGTTTAATAAACTTTTAAGAGGTTTTTGTGTGGGATGTGCTTTGCGATTTTCAGATTTTACTAGCTTTTTGTTTCCAAATGAGGCCATCGCAATGCTGGTGCTAATTTACAGCGTAGCAATGTGTTAGTGATATCGGTCATTCAACATGGGCACCATTATTATCCGATTCATCTTGTGTGGGATGTGGGATTTCGTTTACTAATTTTGTTTCCATGAGGCCATCGCATTTGCACTGACGTGGTCTAACATGGGCACGAGTATCCGATTCATCGGGGGGTTTTCGACATACCACTAGACTTCAACGTAATAGCACAAACCCATGCGAACGTGCTAGCACAAAACCCATGCATGGGTTTGTACAGCTATCCCCAATCCTATGTCCCGCACAAAAGATGATTGTCTTATACGCATTAAGGATATAGATCTAACCTGACTACGTCAACCTGAATGCATATCTATTACCACCTAAAAAGCCTCGACGGGTTTCGTACACAGGCCTTCGTGTGCGCGCGGGCGTGCGCGTCGTCTGATCCCGAATAGGATCCGTACACGCGCCCGGCGCAGAGAAGAAGCCGCCCGGCGCAGCCATCGACGCGGGCGCGGGCGCCGGGCACGAAGAAGGAGCTGCCGAGCGCGACCGCCGGGAACGGAGAAGGAGCCGCCGGAACAGGACACACGGCTACAGCCATCGGGGTCGGGGCGCTGGCATCGGGCCTAGCGGCCGCGCGGCCGCCAGGGCGTTGACGTGCGGAGCTTCGCGATGTTCTCGACCTGTGTTTTGCCACGCGCTGGCATCGGGCCTGGCCGCCGGGAACGGAGAAGGAGCCACCGTTTTTTTCCCGCCACAGAACTGCTTTGCCACGGCACTCGCGGTGAAGGAGTCCGGACCACCGGGGAGCACGGCCGCGATGGGAGGCGCACGCGCGAGCGCCGAGACCCGGACGCCGGGCCGTCGCGGCGCAGGGAAGCACGAGCACCTGCGTGCAGCCGCCGGGCCGCCGGGGACGCCCGAGCGCTGGCGCGGGGACGTGGGAGCGCCGGTGCGTGGCCGCGGGGGCGCGCGAGCGCGCTGCCGTCAGGCCGCCTGGGCTGGGCGCATCGCGTGCGGTGGAGTCTGGATGAAGAAGATAACGTCCGTGGGGAGGAATCAAAGAAAGAAAAATAAAAGGAAGTCTGGATGGGGTAGAGAGAGTAGAAGGAAAAATAAAATAAATGAAAACTTAAGAAAAGAAAAAATAGAAAAATAGAAGGGTATTCTAGACCACTAATTATCTATATTAGTCTTAATTTACATGTTTATTCTTTGTTCATTAGAAACATCGTACAAATTTGTGATTGATTTTAACATAAATTGATCTAAGCCATATGTGGCAATTTGGGTTCAATTTTTGTGGCAACCATGTAAACAACAACCACACAATTTTGCCACGGTTTAGTAACGAACCAAACATATCGATTTTGCCACAAAATGTGGCAAACCACAGTGTGGCAAATGCTTAACCTTAGGCGTGGCAAAATGTAGCAGGCAACTAAATAGACCCTGCATCCACAGAGCTAGCAGAGCTATACCAAACGTACCTAAAATATGATTGAGAAATAGAGATTAGTGTTGTTGGACCCATGAAAAACTATGGAAGTTAAGAGATGGACCTCCATGGATCCTTCGCCACGCATCGTGGCACTTTACCAAGTAAGAATAGCGATTGGATGTGTGTTTGGTTGCTCAACTCAAGTTTTTTTGGAGTGTCCGTAACACCATCATCTACTCCGTGCAACGCACAGGCACATATCTAGTATATACTTTACATCTTCCATATATAGTCTATTCTCTTTCCAACAACTCAAGATTGTCTACTTAAAGCCTTCAAATTAGTTTTCCAACTAAGAGAATTATCCAACCTTCGAATCATTTAGTTTTCCAACTAAGAGAATTATCCGAAATCATATATATAAATTGGGCTAAGCTAAAAGAAGACTATTTTGAAAACTAATTAATTCAACGATGACGACCTTTCATGGATTCACCTATGCGACTACCATTCCAAAAATAAGAGCTTGAATATCGTGCCGCTTGTAAATAATCCAAGAAACAACTACCAAGCCCACTATTGATCTACCATGTCCCGCCATTCCCCAAACCTATGTCCCAACTCCTAAGCTCGTTGTTGGCCTACACATCCCGCCAATGCCGGCAATAGGATGCTTCTGGCCTCACCTCATCGAGATAGCGCATTTTGTTCAACCGGACTAGCCATGGGATAGAGTATTACAAAGTTGACCCTGCTATTAGTTATAGTAACATTTGCTAACAATTTTTATAGACGCCTCTGTTTTCTTTTCTAGGTCTCTAAAAATGGTTTTGTAAGATGATCTGTCTCTAGAAATTGAATTTTAGAGCTGGCTGATGTTTCTATCTGTGGATCTACCTCTAGAAATGGGGCTTCTATTTTCATAGGCGAGGTGGCTAGTGTTTCCAACCGCGTCTAGAAATAGATGCATTTCTAGAGGTAACTAGAAATATCACTCGTCTATCGAAATCGACTTAGAGGTGACTAACAATGTGGCCCACCTCTAAAAATAAGTACATCCCACAAAAAAATTCATACTTTGTTCCAAATCAAGTTGGATGAAGACAAACTTTATATTAAAGTTGTAGAGGTCAAAGAGACTTATAGCTTGAAAAAATTTATTTCAAATCATTTAAAGTTCCAAAATTATGTTTTAAGTTCTTAGATTTTGAAAATTATATTTAAATTTTTTCATACGGCCTCGGATGGAGAGAAACACCCTAAACCAAATATGTAGTGTTGGATGAGATCTAAAAATTTTCAGTTCAAAACTTTTCATTTGAAATAGTTTAGGGACCAAAATATTTAGTACAAGATTCTTGAAAGTTCATACAAAAGGATTGCCACTTGGTCACATGCCACTTTGAGGCTGAAAGCTTTAGTTTGGTTTTGGTGGATTGATGAAACCCTAAGTGCTAACCTTTATCTCTAAGTGAATATGAGATTGGTTAGTACAATCCAAGTGGTGGAGCAAGTGAAGGATGATCATGATGATGGTGGAGGCCATGGTGATAATCAAGTGCTCAAAGCCTGGAAAAGAAGAAAGAGAAAAACAAAAAGACTCAAGGCAAAGTTATAATTGATAGGAGCTTTTTGTTTTGGCACTCAAGACACCAAGTGGGTGTGAGTGTACTTAGGATAGATAGCCGTACTATTAAGAGGGGTGAAATTCGTCGTGAAATGAGGTTATCAAAGCGCCACTAGATGTTCTAATTCATTGCATATGCATTTAGATTCTAGAGAGTGCTAACACCCTTGAGAATTGGCTTAGATTGTTGCTAACTCACGTACACATGTGGTGGAATACTTAGAGTTGGCACACATGCTCAAGGGTGAAGTATGACAGAACCGCCTAATTTATACAAGATCAAGTACGGTTGTCCCCGCTAACACGTTGACACGCGCATACTTTGATTTATATAAATCCGGTAGTCCGCCGAGTGTCTCGAAAGACCTCGATAAATCAACATCACAACCAAGATCGCGTGATTAAGCAAATACACATCACATACGCAGAGTTGCAGCAGAAATAATGTTACAAATGGGTTCACAAATAATAGTACAAGTTTGGGTTTCAAAACAAATTATTGAAAACAACATATCTTTCAAATGATTACATTAATATAAGTTTCAAATACATTGCTAGCATAAGTGACATCCTCAGACAAAAGCATATAGATGAGAAGTAAATATAGAATCATCGAGCCCACCGGCGGTTAGCCACCATCATCAACAGGTCGAGAACTTCACCTGCAATAAGGTGGGATAAACCCTGAGTACTCAAATGTACTCAGCCAGACTTACCCATCGTAAACCAGAAATAAAGTGACACCAAGGATTATGCAAGGCTTTCTTTAGTGGGCTAGCTGACTCGTTTGTGAAAAGCATAAGTTATCATGAATAAACCATTTTAAGTACTTTGCATCATCTTTATTATAACCTATCCATCTAGGTAAGCACATGTACTATAGCAATCACTTGATTAACCAATAACATCCAGTTACCAATTTAGATTTAGCATATCCCATATCATCCAGATAACCATCATTGTTCCATAATAATTACTACGATGCCGTAGCTCGAGTCAAGTGCTCACTATCCAGGAGCGATGACGATTCGAATCGATTCCTAACCAGCTGGTGATTTATTCCTCACACAACCCACGCTTCCCCCGTCAGGGTCGCTTAGATCACCAATAACACTTTCCAAGTAGCCGCGGGATAACAGTCATGGACCGCACTACCCAGGGACCGCCCGACTGCCAGGACGCACCTTGGGCTCACTCTTCGCGTCCCCGTCATACCCTCTTCAGCACCAGTCTGTGCATCCGAGTTTATCCCGGCTTGAAATAGTGTCACTAGCTTCGCGGTCGAAAGGTACTTTATTCGGCCAGCTAAATGTGAGGCATGCGTTCAACATGATAAGAGGGACGAGCAACGATCGGTCCTTAATCGACACAGACGGAAACTAACAGCACCCGAGAACCCTGTCTGGTTGCCTCCAACTTTTTCCGTCCGGTCTCCAATTATTCATCACACATGGTTAATTCCAGGATATCATTCTT